GGCATCATGTGTCTGAAAACTCACTACCTAAACCAGCCACTCTGATAATCATTTCTCTAGTTCTGTTTTGAAAAACTCCAGGCTGTTGCCTCCAAAATGAATCATATGACAAATCCTTTGACATGCAAATTTGGGAAACATTAATCACAAACTAAGTCAGTCTTAATTACTCAGGGGATTCTCGGGGGAGCCAGTGAGAGACAGATCTTCCATTGGCTGCTTCACTCCCCAGATGGTCCCAGTGGCCAGAGTTGAGCCATACTGAAGCCAGGAGCCCAGAACTTCATCAGGGTTACCCATCTGGGTGCAGGAGCCCAAACATTTTGGCCATCTTCCGCTGCTATTCTCAGGCCATTAGCAGGGAACTGGATCAGAAGTGGAGCAGGAGCAACTGGGACATGCAGGTAGAGACTTTACCTGATTCGCCAAAATGCCGGCCCCAGATATGATAATCCCTGTGCGTCAAGAGAGGCATAGGCAGTGATCATTTCCCAAACTCACTCCCTCACAAAGCATTTCAAGGAGCAAGTGTTCCCTAGAAAGTAACGTAAGAGGGGCCGGCGCTGTGGCACAGCAGGTTAATGCCTTGGCCTGAACCGCCAGCATCCCATATGGGTGCCGGTTTGAGCCCTGGATGCTCCACTTCTGATCCAGCTCTCTGCTATGGCCTGGGAAAGCAGTAGAAGATGGCCCAAGTGCTTGGACCCCTGCACCTGCTTGGGAGACCTGGAGGAAGCTCCTGGCTCCTGGCTTTGGATCGGCGCAGCTCCGGCCGTTATAACCAAATGGGGAGTGAACCATCCAATGGAAGACCTCTCTCTGCCTCTCCTCCTCTGTGTAACTCTATCAAATAAATAAATAAATCTTTAAAAGAAAAGAAAGTAATGCAAGAAATGGTGTTCTGATCCCGTGCAAGCCCTGTCCTGTATTCATTTCTCTTTGGATGTCCTAAGTTCAAACCTTTTCCCAGTAAGTTTATTAGTTTCTGGATTGTCAATTAATGAAAAAAAAAATCACTTTTGTTAAGGTGACATTTATTGGATATCCACTATGTGTCAGATATTGAAGGAAGTCAAGGATAAAAATATCCATAAGAATCAAGTGCTTAAGGCTGGCACCATGGCATAGTGGGCTAAGTCTTCACCTGCAGTGCCGGCATCCCATATGAGCACCGGTTCTAGACCCGGCTGCTCCTCCTCCAATCTAGCTCTCTGCTGTGGCCTGAGAAAGCAGTAGAAGATGGCCCAAGGGCTTGGGCCTGTGTACCCACATCTGAGACCCGGAAGAAGATCCTGACTCTAGATCAGCCTGGCTCCAGCCTTTGTGGCCATTTGAGGAGTGAACCAGAAGATAGAAGACCTTTCTCTTTGTCTCTCCCTCTCTCTGTCTGTAACTTGACTTCTCAAATAAATAAATGAAATCTTAAAAAAAGAAAGAATCAAGTGCACAGGCTATGGGAGCTCATGGTCATGATCAATGACTATTTAGTAGTTGCTGTGGACTTTTGGTGTTTTGCTGTCCCGTGTCTCCCCATCAGAGAGTCTTAGTCTCTTAGAAAACAGGGGCCCAATTAGAGCCAACCAGATGCCACCTAACGCTGGTATCGTTTCTGGGAAAGAAATATTCTTTCCCCTGTATTTCAACCTTGGGAAAGCAGGTTACAGGCTGCAGATAACGATTTTTGTCACAACTCAAAGTCTAAGAATTGAATCAAATGGAGGCAGCAGAATCTGAAGATGGAGAATAGGTCCTGCTGAGCCAATCCACCTGCTCCTGGTCCTCTTGGAATTCAGTTACATGGGCCTATTTGGGTTGGGTTTCCTGGGACTTGCATCCAAAGGACCTCACTCATATGACTCTAACATGTTTCTCTCCTTATTGAAAATCATTCAGAGTATGTTAGGACATTTCATTGCCTGAGGAGGGATATAATTAGGTATAAAGTCCCTTTTGATTTAGAAAAATGTAGTATGAATTCTAAAAGTTGTTTTTTAACTCAATATTTGATCACAGCATGTTTTCTTTTGATTGACCTATATTTTTCCTATAAGCAGAAACACAATGAATTATGATTATATTGAAGGTTTTGTTTGGGTTTTGCTTTAGGTGATAAAGGCCCTGTTGTATGTAGGTACATTAAAAAAAATCTTGGAAAATGGAATTAAATTTTACATTTATTTTGGTGTAAACATTTTTGAAATCCATACGTAGTTTTTCTGTAACATACTTTTTCATGTATTATTTGGTGTCCCCTTGGATATAACCATCTCAGTAAGTGACCACATAACCTAGAGAAGTTTTAACAATATTTAGTTATTTTTTTTTTAATTGAAAGAATTACTGTCACATGATCCTATGGCAGCCAGGTTTTGCTGAAGCCTGAAGGAGTCCACTTTGAACAATGGTTTATGCTGGAGAAGTCTCTGACTTTGAGCCTCCTCCATATTGTACAAGGGGTTCTAACAATCCTAACTTAACGGTGTTTTTGGTGTTCCCTCTTCTTATTCTTAAGGGTCCTCTAAGTAAGAGCTCATCCCTCGCCCATGAATCTGCCAGATTCCTATACCAGTAACCGATTTTACTCTTAATCGCATCCACAGCAGGAATTCTCCTCACATTCCTTGCTGAATCCTGAGTCTGGGCCTCTCCCCACAGCTCACGCTCAGCATGTCCAACACAGTATGCCACGTGCCCACTGACTCCAGGCTGCCCCTTTGCAGGTAGAGTGGCCAAGAAGATTTGCAATAATAAAACATCGTAAGTTGTGCTACTTGTCAGCCCGGCCTGGCAAGTTTAAATTGTATTATTTGAACAGCTGTAATGTGTAACTGTACGAACTAAGTCTATGACACTGGCTTGAAATGCTACTGTCTTTCTAGATATGTCAGTTGAGTGGGCTCACACCTCCCAATGACTAACACTTCTCTCTTGGAACTTGACAGCGGAGAGCTCTGGATGCAAAGTGTCATGTCCATAAATTTCATTTAGGCTGCAAGATTTGCCTTGTATTTCAGATAAAATAAACACAATTCCTCTCACTCTGGGTCTTTTTATCCTACTCCTCCTATGAGACTCCACACCAGGCCCAACTTTCTGATCCTCTAGGTTCATAAAGCCATCTTGATTTTGTTTCCCAGAGTGGAACATGATGCTTGAAATTTTTTGTCCTGCCCATAATTTGCAGAAAATTTGGATAGGTTTCTGGTCTGAATTTGACATCTTCAGAGACTTATATAAGAGGCTATGAAAGAAAGCTATGCAGACATTCCAAAGAAGTTGGCACTAAAATAAATTTAGCATTTAATTCAACTTTCCATGAACTTTTTGAAGTTCCCTTGTGTGACTTCCTGTCCTCAGTGGCTCCATGAGATTGCAAAGCAGAATTGGCACTGATGTGATCAATGTTCTTACTGAAACAATATGCAAAGTAAAACTGGTTTTTTTTTTTTTTATTTATTTTATCTTTTTGAGAAGGAAGCAAAGAGAGAGACAGCTAGAGATAAAGACAGAGACAGACAGACACTCCCCAAATGACCATGGGTAGGCTAGTAGGAACCCATAAGCCAGGAACTCAATCCAGGTCCCCCATCTGGGTGAGAGAGACTCAAATACTTGATACATCACCTGTTGCCTTCCACATGATGCATGAGACAGAAGCTGGAGTCAAGAGTGTGTGGAGAATCAAACCCAAGCCTACTGATAACAGGATGTGTGTGTCACAAGGGTCTGTCTTAACAGCCAAGCCAAATGGAAAATCTGATTCCCTGATGAGCTACCTCCTCTTGGGCAGGATTTCCCAAAGTACAGTCTATGGAATGTCAGCTTCTGGTTTGAACAAGAGCCAAAGGGAACAATAATACTTATAGGATACAGGACAAAATATAACTTTGAAAACACACATGGCGGCATAGCAGATGGAGTGAGAATACAAAAGGAGGTACCCGGGAGCCACTTTGGAAGTTTTAATACTGTTTTTTCTTTCCTCTAGAAATCTGATAACACCTAATTCAGTCTTTGGTCTGATTGTTCTATGGAAGTTATATACGAGGACAGTGTTAGGTATAGTATGTAGAAATTGTAGAAGCATGGTCCTCACCAACAGTGGGGAAGTAACCTTTCCAGTGATGTTGTCCCTATTTTCATTCTATTAGCATAGAACATGAGCAACTCATGACAAGAGCCTAGGGAGATTACTGACGCCATAAACAAGAGTGTCAATTGTTAAGTCAACAACAGGAGTCACTGTGTACCTACTACTCATGTAGGATCTCTGTCCTTAATGTGTTGTCCAAAGTGAAGTAATGCTATAACTAGTACTGAAACAGTATTTTACACTTTGTGTTTTTGTGTGGGTGCAAACTGATGAAATCTTTACTTAATATATACTAAATCAATCTTCTGTATATAAAGAGAATTGAAAATGAATCTTGATGTGAATGGAATGGGAGAGGGAGTGGAAGATGGGAGGGGTGAGGGTAGGAGGGAAGTTATGGGCGGGGGGAGCCATTGTAATCCATAAACTGTACTTTGGAAATTTATATTTACTAAATAAAAGTTCAAAAAAAAAAATAAAAAACATGAGGCCTTGCATAGGCAGTTTGAAATTCTTTGAAAAAAAAAAGAATATAAGTAAATTCTATAATTATAATTACTATGGTTATTTAAAGCAGCTACTAAGGTAATATTGTATATTATATCATTACCAACTAATTCTGCAATTTGTCCACCTGCAGTTTCTGAGACAATATTCGCTGAAATTAACAGGCTGACAAACACTAGAGCTAATACACAGAACGATACAATCACTGATTAGCAGAACTAATATAATAACTGGCAAATCAAAATTAATACTGATCAATCAATACATAAGAAACTGAAATTAAAATTAGTAAAATACCTACTTGGACTGTTTTATATAAATTGGGTAAATGTGTTTGGAATTCATCAATATCCTGTTTTTTCATGCAAATCGTGAGCTTATTTTTGTTGTTTGTGCTTAGGCCACTGCAAAGTGGAAGCAGCCAGGTGGACCATGAAGCACACCCTGCGTGTACGCATGAGCGAGCAATTAGTGGAAGCTGTCTCCTCATTTCAGGAGAGAGACTTCACGTGCGTGTCAGGCTTCAAGAGGCATTCACCTTGAAGGCTGCAGGAGGCTGGTATCGGAATTCTGCCGGAGTCAGTCCAGGTACATGCTTGATTGGCTTGAATTCAGTGAGCTGCTCAGTCATTTAGTTTGCCTGACCCTGGACAGGTGATGTGTTGGGAGGTGTGGGTCACGGTTGTGTTTGCAAAAGTGAATAACAATGCACAAAAGCTTTCCTGGAAGTTTGATTTTACACCTTCTGTTAACAGAACTCTTACCCTGAATTTTACGATTTCCTCCCTCTGAGCTTTGGATGACAAGACACATTCCTGTGCAAAGTCTTCTAACTTCAGCTTAGGTCATGAGAAAACGTGAGTTTCAGTAGAAGGAGAATGGGTTCTTTCTCCTTGGCTTACCTGTAGAGGGGTCTCTATATCCTCTCTCTGACAAGCCTCCAACCTTGGGCTCTACCCTGAGGCCTTGCATTCCAATTTTAGCAAGAATTCTGATGAGTCAGTTTCCTGGAACCCCTCATCATAGCACCTTTGATATCTTATCACTCCAGCCTGCCTTCAGCAAAAATCCTGTTATGTCAGTTTAGCAGCTGCCCTGCTGCCTAGTGATTTTCCATCACACACCTCCCAGCCGGTGCTTAGCCTATGAATTCCTACTTTCCCTTCTTGTACTTGGGAGTTGAGTCCCAGCTCTCTCTCCTTCTGCAACCTCTACCCTCCTTGGCTAAAATCTTCCCTACCATCCTTAACAAATAGCGCTAACAGTTTTTCCTTTAACAATAACAAGACACAGTCCCATGGGGAGGCTGGCAGCCTCTGATTAGTTTCTAAGAAAATCTGTGTTTTAGTAGAAACAACGGCGGGGGGGGGGGGGGGGTTTGTGGTTATCAGAACTGAACAAACAAACATGTCCCTTGGGTAAGTCCTTTAACTTGAACTTCAGGTTTCTTATGGTTAAATTTGGGCCAATAGTAATATCCTTCCAGATTTGTAAGGATTAAATTAAGTCCTATATATAAAATTTCTTTGTAAACCTAGAAGTAAGTCCTAAGTTTTGTTAGTGCTAAAGCATTTGAACTTGCTTGTCACTCACAGGGATTTGTATATTGCATATTTCAAAAAAAAAATAAGTGCTTAAAAGTCTATTGATAAAATACTAAAATTGTATTTTAGTGCAATATTCAAAATTTTCAATAACTGAACACATTATTGAATTACATGTTACAGAAGCAGGGGCAAGGTTCAGCATTTTGGTGAAGTATGAGATGCAGGGCCAGTATTCCTTTTTGTATCGTAATAGCAAAGTAGTTGCAAAGCCCAGGAGGGACAAAGGTGAGGTGCTTTCTTACTATGAACACGTCTTTTTGAAAATTTCTGTAGTTTTATGAAAGTACAATTATTTGAAACTTTGCCAGAGTTGAAAACAATCTTATTTATAGACCACTCCTCTGATGTTAAGCCTTTATTCCTTTTTCCTCCCCCTGCAAAAGAAGATATTTAGTGGTTTTTAAGAGGTTCCCTGCTTGAAATCTTCTGTACAATACTTGCTTAATGAGCTGATTAACAACTGTTACTGAGAATTAATGAATCAAATCACAGTGGTAATCACCATACTGCAAATCACTGTATTGTGTTAGGTTACAATGGAGCCATACATTTCACTGTGATGCCTCTTTCGGATAATAAAGGTGTCTGAACAGATTGTATCCCAGTTCTCATTGAAGAAACCCCAATCATGTGTTGGATATAGGGAAACCTTTTGGAATTCCCTAAACAGTAAGCAACAAAAGATTCAATTAGTAGAATATTAGTCCATTAAACACACAGAGCATTTTGGTTTTAAATTATCTGGCATGCTTTTGAAGTCTATATTAGTTTTATGAATTTATCATAATCTAAACACATAGAAATGCTGCCCTGTGATTAGGCATCTGCCTTAGCATGATTTGCAACAGAATGGCAGATAAAATGTTAATGGCTACTGCAAGAGAATTTTCATTTTGACAATTTTCTGCATTGTTAGATAGCTTTCAGTTCAGAATATTTAATAAAATTAATTTGAGCATCTAAAATAGTTCTTGAAATCTGACTTTCTAGTTTTTAACTCTGAGAATGCTCTACTAGTGATGAGTTATTTCAATAAAGCTGTTATAAAATAATGAGTAGATGACTATGATTTTATTTTATAAGCAGCAAATAATGTGTTGTCATGTCCTCATATTGAAATTACAGGTATGCCTAAGTGATTTATGTAATTGAGGAACTATTTAGTTAAGAAGCCAAAATTTCCCTTTTGAAATATAACCTCCTGGCTAAAGCATTTAAGAAAGTAATTCAAAATTAGTTACAACTATCAAACGGGGGAATGGTTGATTGCATCGGAACATATTTCCTTACTGTACTCCAACCAGGTATGTGGGTTAAATAGAGTGAGATAGGAAAGGAAAGGAAAGGAAAGGAAAGGAAAGGAAAGGAAAGGAAAGGAAAGGAATAGAATAATGGAAGTGTATCAAAGTCAGAGTATCTTAAACAAAGTCAACATCTATAAGTTATTCTAATAAAAATAAGAGCATATTAAAAGAGAATTGCAGTCTGGATCCCAACCTGCATTTATTGAGGAAGACTTATGTAGAAAACATTTTCCAATTGAAGGGCAGTTCATTTCAGTTGGCTAAAAGACTCATCAACACAAGTTTTTAAACAAATATAAATCTTACAGATAGAGACATTCTTCAAAAAAATTTTTTCCTTTATTATCATTCAATTTAACTAAACTAGGCAGTAATTTCTAAACCCAATGTGGAAATCCCTTCCAAGGAAAATAGAGTAAAGAAGGTAGAGACTCAAGTTCTGCATCCCTGAGAGGCAGAGTTACAGACAGAGAGCAGGAGACAGAGATCTTCTGTCCACTGATTCACTCTCCAGACGGCCGCAATGGCTGGAGCTGGGCCAATCCGAAGCCAGGATCCAGGAGCTGCTTCTGGGTCTCCCACATGGGTGCAGGGACCCAAACAATTGGGCCATCTTCCACTGCTTTCCCAGGCCATAAGCAGAGAGCTGGATTGGAAGAGGAACAGCTGGGACACCAACCATTACCCATTTGGGATAACAGCACCCCAGGTGGGGGCTTAGCCCGCTATGCCACAGCACTGGCCCCCAGGTCTACCATTTATAGCTGTATGTATCAGGGCAAGGTACTGAATTTCTCTGTGCCTCTTTGGGGTAGAATGACTTTCTTCTTCAACTGACTTTACATAGGTAAAATGAGCCAGTACAGGCCCACTGCTTGAACGCACCCAATATCAAATAAGTATTCCGTGAGTGTTAATTAGAATGAAAGGAATGGAAAGCTACTGTATGGCGATAATAGGTCTATGTTATTCTCTTAAGAACCCCATAAGGTACAAAGTGCCCTATTCAACAAGTGTAGAAACTCAGTTTCAGAAAGAGCCGTTTGTAGCTGCTCACTGGGAAGGTTCCAAGAGTCAGATCAGGAGGCAAATCCTTTTTGCTTTCCTCTAATGGTTATCAATCCTGGGTATATTAATAGAGACATCTGGAAAGCTCTTAAAGTGATTGATGTGGACTTCTGATTTCAGCTCCAACATGTCAAGTGTCTGGACATAATTATCTCAATCCTTACACCAAGAAAAACTCAATAGGGGCCGGCATTGTAGTATAGTGGGTTAAGCTGTCCCTTGGGATGCCCTGTGTCCCATATGTTAACTGCCAGTTCAAGTCCTGGCTACTCTGTGCTTCTGATCCAGCTTTCTGCTAAGGTACTGCAGAAGGTAGACGCTGATGGCCCAAGTACTTCGGTTTTTCCACTCATGTGCGAACCCCAGATGGAATCCTGAGGTTCTGACTTCATCCTGGCTCTGTCCTGACTGTTGCTGGCATTTGGGGGGTAACCAGCAGATGGAAGCCCCTTTCCCCCCAACCCCGTCACTCTTCCTTTTAAATAAACAAATATTAAAAAAAAGTTCAGTTCACCAAAAATCCATGACTGAATTGGACCATCAGAGTACTGCAGTCTTATGGCAGTCATCCTGTAATCTAGAGAGAGAAATAAACCTAGAGAGTAACAGCTGAGACCTGCCTACGTCGAGCCGATGCAGCGGGGGCCACAGAGTGGTCACAGTCATTGTGATGATTTGCTAGAGGCTGGGTTTAGACTGATGTGAGAGTAAGACATTCCGGGAGGCAGAAGTACTGATGTGGAGGGTGGGGACGCTTTCCTAGATTTTACCTCCAAGAAGAACTTCGCCAGGTCCTCATGGGGAGAGCAGGGAAAGGTTCCCTCGAAGGTAATCCTGTGAAATGCATTCGGTGCATCCTTCATTACAAAGACCTACTTCTGGGGGACTTTCATTAGAGCTTTATTGTACTTGGAGGAAGGACTTATTGCACTCCAGCCCCTTCCGACTTTCCTGTATCTTTTAGGAGGACTACATTTGACAATAGTTTCATTTTCAAAAATGTATTTATTTTCTTTACTTGAAAGGTAAAGAGATAGAAATTTCCCATCTGCTGATTCACTCCCCAAATGCCTTCAACAGCTGGTGTTGGGCCAGACTGAAGCCAGGAGCTAGGAATTCAGTCTTGGCCTACCACATGGGTGGCAGGAACCCAAGTACTGGAGTCATCATTTGCCATCTCCTAGGGTGCATATTACAAGGAAGCTGTAATTGCAAGAGGAAGCAGGGCCCAAACCCAGGCCCTCTGATAGGAGATGCAGGCTTACCAAGTAACGTCTTCACAGAATCAAATGCTTATTCATAGCCTTCCTGTCTTATCTAAAGTGAGGGAAAATAAAACACTTGTGGAGATCACAACCAAAGGAAATAAGACCACTAAAAGTTTAAGATTTATCTAGAAGATCATGGAATACACTCCTTTCCCCACAACACCTGTCGGACTTCAGTATTCCAGCCATGGGTTATAGCTGAAAGAGCTGCAAGGAATAAACTCTTTGAAGAGGAGTGTTTAAAGTAGGCCAAAGTCCTCAGGAAGATCAAATAACAACACTAATTTGGCACCTGTAGCTACAGCAAACACTTAACACAGCCTAAATCCTAGCCGGTTAAC